GAGGGATGGAAAAAATGAGGATCTGATACCAAGGGCTCAAGTAGAAAGCAAATGTTTTGAGAATGATGGTGGCAACAAATGTACAAATGTGCTTGTCACAATGGATATATGCATGGATTGTGATAAGAGTTGCATGAGCCTCCAATAAAATGATTAAATTTTTTTTCTGAAACCATAAGTTTAAAAAAAATGTTTGTGAACTGGGTGAGATTCACAGTAGAATCATAATCTTTTATGTATTTATGTTTTATAACACTTGAAAAATGCCAATTATGCATTTCTGGAACCAGCCTTTTAAAGATATCATTAAGGCAGTTGTCGCCAAATATACCATAAGCACAGATTTGATGTAAATACATCTGTGGGTGTTGGGTAAATTCCTGTTACTTCCTCAATCAAGAAACCCACCATAACCAAGTTCTTAAAGTCCTTAAATTGTCTACAGCATTGGGTGGGAGCTTACATGCTTTTCTGAAGAGGGGATACTCAATGTTTTCTTAAATTCCCACGTTAAAGAATCACAACCTTAAACTAACAATTTAGCACTCAATTATTGTGAGCATTGAACCTATGCATCCCAAGCATAGGTTAAGCATAAGGTGATATACTTGTCAAATACCAACATGTATCAACTGGGTGGTTTCTACACATAGAGAAGTTTCTCTAGGTTTTTTCCCCCCATTGGCTAGATCTATATGCAAATTTTAAAATCAAGATCTATTATATGACACTCTAAGTCGCAAATGAGAAGGTTCCATGTGACATTTATACTGATCCAAACATAGAATCTTTAAATTGCCTTGAGATTTCTGATTATCCATTAATAAACATGAATTCATTCAAAACCACCAAAGCCATGTTACACACACCCTTGTGAACACTAGAAGTGTCTAATTCTGTCCCAAGAGTAGCATGTAGTTATACACACACACGGTTTCCAGTCATTTAAATTACCATTGTAGCCATCTTGGTTCAGGTCTCCTAAGTGAGCGACGGCACTACCGAATCTCCCAAAAACCTCAGTGCCTGAGAGGACCTGAGGGTCTCTGAAGAGGAGAGGGCTTGCTTGCAAATACAAGTAAACTTGCCCCACTTCTTTAGGGTGACTCTCAAATTCACGTTCCATGAAGAGAGGTGCGCCAATCAATATGTCATCCATCCTGTGGGAAAGAGAGAGAGGTCAGTGCTCCTCCAGGCCTAAGACTCGTAGGAGGGAATCTTAAATGAGCATCTCCATGTAGTTCCAACTTGCATTGACTTTGTTTTCTTTTGGAGGGACAGTTTACAATCCTTATAGCACTTCCATTGCTTTGCTATGTCTAAGGCGTTGAATGTTGTAAGAAAATACAAGTTGTGTTTACAACATTAAAAAGTTATGACTTCAGGGAAATTACAGATAGTTTACCTTTTTCCATTCTTAGTGCATTTCTAGAAACGACGCCCTGACCCAAAGAAGTTTTTCTAAAAGCAGAAAAATGTCTTTCTAAATTCATAAAAATGTGTAGTTTAATTATTCCATTTTCTGCATGTTTTATAATAGTTGTCTTTTCCTTCTTTTCCCATTAAAAAAAAAACCAGAGACAAGAGAAGGACGATCTATATGACTGCCTAGAAAGATAGAAAACAAAACTCTCATTCTAAATCAGAATTTATAGGATTTCTTTAGAGTACAGGTAGATATTACAACCTGAAACCAACGGACACTTTTTAAGGTTGAGCATTTCAATAAAGAGACACTGGAGAAAATTATTTAAAGATAAAGCATTAAGCACCAGGAGAATAAAACATAGAACTGGTTAGTGGTGTATCCTTCATGGTGTCAGATGCTGTGACGAGGACTATAACAGAAATGGTGCATCTTCATTATGAGTCTTCTAAGCGGTTTGATTTTTTAGAAACACATTCGTGTATTATTTTTATTTTTAAAAGGTGAGGCAAACCCACAGCAGTCAACATTCATAGTTACTGTATATCCTGGCAGATAAAATAATCTGAAAAAGGAACTGAGCCAAAAAATACAAATTTGCATTTGCCCCTCATAACCCTTCAGT